ATATAAAATATAATGATCATTAACTAAAAGATGTTAATAATTAAGTAGATAACAAATAATGTTGCTAACGGTTTTTTTAAGAAGATAAAAGATTTCCAACCAACTGTTCGGGTTTTGGAAAAGAAGTTAGGTGTAATTATAAAAATGGAATTTGTAATCTGGCACTTCTTGCTTAGCAACAGAACTATTCAGTTCATTTCATCCACATAACCCAATAAACTTGAAACATTTATAACGTTTTTAGAAAAAAAGAACCTTTAAACTCTTTTCCTCAAATTGGTAAATACAAAATCACACATACAACAAGGTAAAGTAAAAAAAAAAGGGAACACATACTCCTCTAAAACATAAGTATATATTTTTGTCTAATAACAATATCTCTTATTTCCCTCATAATTAACTCCAATAATTAAAATCACTTTCTGAGTGATTAAAATTATTCATTTTCTCCCAAAAAACCAAGGGTTCCTCATCCTCAAAAGGAGAAAATTTATTAATAATTTGTTTTATCTTTCATACAAATTATTTCATGGTCCTTCGAAGAAACTGATCTGGTCACCTCAATACACAAGTCAGGAGAGAAGATTAAAAACAACCACCAAAATCAACTCGATCAACATAATGAGGTAATAAAAAAGAATTCTCACACTCAATTAGTTCAAATTACATGTTGATGCTATAAGCATTAAACAAAGAAAAATAAGAAAAAAAAGAAAGAAAGGAAGAGTGAGTAAAAGTGAAAAAGCCGTCGGCATTGTGAAAAAAAATGATAAAATATAAAGTTTAAGGTAAAAATTATACCAGAAAATTAAAAAAATAGAAACAATTTTAAAATACATAAAAAGAAAAAAGTGCCGCTATAAGAAAAAAAAAATCAGAAAAAATCAGAAAATACATAAAATAAAAAAGATCCGCTATAGAAAAAAAATCAGAAAATACATAAAAAAAAAAGTGCCGCTATAGAAAAAATTAAGAAAAAAGTGCCGCTATTTTTAAAGATTTATATATAAAAAGAAAAAATGTTAAAATACATAAAAAAAGTGCCGCTATTTTTAAAGTTTTATATATAAAAGTATATAAAAGGAAAAAATGTTAAAATACATAAAAAAAAGTGCCGCTATAAAACAAAAAAAAATATAAGAAAAGTATATATATATATATATTGAAAATTAATAAGCTTACATGAATATTAAAAGAAAAAATGTGGAAAAAATTAAATGTGAAAAAATTAAGAAAAAAATAAAATAAAGCAAAAAGAAAAATACAAATAAAATCAAACGGGAAAAAAAGAGTTCAATTTAAAAACATAAATAAGAGAATTTCTGTATCTCTCCCACTCATTCATCAAGAGAGCAAACATCACTCCCCAGCGGTAAAAATACACATTATGTACTCGCTTATCTAAGTGATATTTCGTGGCAGTCAGTGGTGATGCTTTCACTTATTCTTCCACTTAGATTTAACATAAAAGTGTCCTAGGCTGCCTCATCGATGTGCTCTCGCTTAGAATGTAAGCCACAGTTTCATTAAGACAAATTAAAATTTCACTTACATAATGTGTGGAGTTCTAAGCGAAGTTAATGAGACGCCTATAAACGCTTGCAAATAAGAATGTAATGTATGTAGATTACAATCCTATTTGCATTTGTAAGTTAAAGTACCATGTCTTCCGATTTTGTTATAGAAAAAATATATATTTTTTATATTTATTTTAAACTTATGAAAGTTTATTTAAAAATGATCATCAAATAATAAACATGTATTATAGTTAATTCAATTAAAATATAATTAAACAATTTTAACGAAGATAAATGAAATGAATCTTAATTTTCTTTTGAAACTTTCGGTCATCTTCCTTTAGAGATCCAATAAATAATCAAGAGGAAATTTATCCCAATTTTTAAGTCCGTTTCTGCCATTTAGATCACCACAATTATTTTAAATTTTTACAAAAAAATAACTTTTTTAACAAAACACAACGTCACTTACAAAAGATCAACTTTAAACTGAAACAAAAATATTATTCTTTTCATGTAGTACCTATACATACAAAAGAAAAATAAAACGGTACTTTAGTTCTGTTTTTTTAAAAGATATAAAAACAAAAAACAACATGAAAAAGGCAGCTAACTCTCTGCTTAAATCGTAATCTATGTTATAATTAAAGTGCATGATATGTTGGATTACGCATGCATTGCACTCTAAGTACTTAGATTGCTCGCTTAGAACGTCATACTGATGTCATCGAATATTATCTAAGTACTTTGTTTCATTTACCGCTGGGTCATTCATCAAGAGAGCACATCAAGGGCATATCAGTAAGAGAACATCTCAACAACAAGAAGGAAGGAAGAACAAAAGCAAGTACACTCAAACGAAGTAAGAGAAAGCAATTCATCAAATCTAAAGTGAGTAATTTTTACATTATTTTACACTCGAATATTTAATGTGAGTAATTAATTTGCGAAAAAAAAAGTGTTAATAAAGAAAAATATATTGTAAACTATTCTAAATTGAAAAAGTGGTACAAATAAATAACATTTTGTTAAAAATAAATGTGCTTTAAAATATTTATACGGTTTTTGAAAAAAAAAGCTAGTGAAAAGTGAAGACTTGAATATAACCAAGAGTTTTTAAAATTTTCATAAAAAAAAAACGTATGTGTTGAAAATCAAAAAATATAAGTAAATTTTATTACATTTCGGTTTTAAAATTCTTTCATTATCTCTCTTACATGTTGAACTGATTGTAACACATTTTGAAAAAAAAAAATGAAATAATCCCAACAAACAATTAAATTGAAAAAAAAACTACATTTAGTGATGCTAAAATTTTATAGTGATTGTATGCAATTTTTATATATTAAAAAAAATTATTTAATGTAAATAAGATAAAAAATCGTTATTTTGAACCATTCATACGATCATTAAAGATTATAAACATAAATCCAATACATTTATATTTCTTTTAATTGTTTGCTGGGTAATGATAAAATAATAAAAATAAAAAACGGTGCCTTTGTTATATTCAAGTCTTGTCAAAGAGAATTAAAGTAAACAAGTATAGGGTTTGCAGTTTCAGTTTACAATTAGGGTTCGCAATTCCGGTTTACAATATCTCTTATTCTCGATTATTTATTAACGAAATTCCCAAAAATAGAAAACATAATTATAAAAACTTCGAAATTTGAAAAATAATTAAAAGAATAAAAGTGTATGTGTAATAACGTTTGTGGTGTTTATTCTGCCTAATAAGTAGAATAAAATTAAAAAGTATATGTATTTAAAAGTTAAAGTCAAAATTTAACTAAGAATACATACTACAGCCACTCAAAACACAAATAACAAAAGAATACAGAAAACATTTTTGTTAATAAAAATTAATATACTGTTGTAAAATATTAAACGTTTATAACCCTATGATCATTCGTGCGTTTGTGGTGTTTATTCTGCCTAATAAGTAGAACAAAATTAAAAAGTATATGTATTTAATACATATTACAGCCACACAAAACATAAACTTTAATAACTTACAATATTCGCCGGTAAAAACAAAGTGCGTTCTCTTGAGTATTATACAAATAAGAAAAATTTTTGGAAGTTGTCCCTCTCTTAAATGAAAACTATAAAATATTTTGCTCTTAAATAGAAACATATGGTTAATTTATACAGCATAGGTACATGAATTGTCCTACACCAAATTATAAAGAAAATTTGTTAATTTAAAATAAATTTTTGGAAATATTTGCACAGAAAAAACTTAAATACGATTTCAATTATCAAAATTTTATTTTCAAATATTTATTTATTGAAGTTCAATTTATAACAGTAAATACATATTCAATTCTTGCTTCTAATTGATTTTCAACACGAAAAAAAATTATATTTAAAATTTTAATATTTTGGTATTAGTATATAATTGTATGGTTCAAATACAAAAATTTATTGAACGAATTTAAAATTTTTTGATAAGTTATTTAAATTGAAATTGTTTTTAAGTAAAAAAAAAAAAAATTTTTTTTTTCTGTATAAAACAAAATACAAAATTATTTCGATTAATTTTTAAAAAATTCACGATAATCGGAAAATTTTTTATAAAACAAAATATCGAAAATAAATTTAGAAAAAAAAGATTTAATCTCTGCAAACTTAAATAAATTTAATTTGCAAACGAAATAATTCGATATATTTAAAATTTTTGTTTGTCCCATAATAAATAATTTTTCTTGAAAATCAAATTCCAATGAAAATCTAATTACAAGGAAAATCAAATTCAATGAAAATCAAATTCCAATAAAAATCAAATTTCAATGAAAATCAAATTTCACAAAAAAAATAAAAATTCTAAAATTTAATACAAAATTCATTTAATAAATTGATTACGGAATAATTTCCTATTTGTTCACATTAACCGCTTAATTGATATTTCTGGAATAATTCCACAAGATTGTATTGAGAAATCAGAATACCACATAATACATAAAAGTTCTTTTTGATATTCGGTTGGTAAAAACATTACACTATATAATAATTGATCAAACCATTTCAGTATCAATTTCTCTATTGATTTAAACTCATTAATTACTTGATTAAAGTGTATATTCTATTATTTTTTGTTTTGCTAGATTACAACAATCTAGTGCATTTATTCCATAGCTAAGCTATCACAAAACATATAGAAGATATACTTTATAATTTACTGCTATTCCTACTTGTGTGCCAAAGAGAAATTTTTTTACCAATCAAAGTGAACAAATATATAGGATTTTTATCTCTTGTTTTCAGTTGTACTAGCCACAAGAACTAGTACTATCATTAAATAACGCTATAGTTGAAAAATCTTTTTTTGATTATTCTCAACATAATTTACATCAAAAATATATAAAGGTTTATTGAACATCTGTATCACAATATAGTACTTTAACTTAAAACTATTGTTCTGTTAATCACAGACTTAACTCTTTGAATAAAATAAAATATCGAATATAATTATCATACAAAATGCCGCATGAAGAAGATTCCCCTATAGTTGATAGGTCATTTAATCCATCATACAAAGATTATTTTAGATTTGATTGTGAACATTTACTTCAGTATTGTGGAAAAGTGAATGAGAGCCAAACAGAAGATCAAAATGAATCTATATTAGAAGCAAGGTTAAAAGAGATAGAAGCAAGATGGGCAAAAGTAGATACTTCTTATCAAAAAGTAATGTTATCTCAAGATGACACAATTGATATAGAATTTAAAAACCAAGCAAGAGATGCATTTGATTCTTGTACAGAAGCATATGTCCAAACCACATCACAAGTTGTTGAGTTCCTTAAAAGCATGCGCTTAGATACAGTACAAATGCCAATGTTCCAATCAACATCTCGACCTTCAATACCATATCAAAATCAAATGAACGATAGTTCAAGTATCTGTATTAAACTCCCACCATGCGACACAGAAATATTTAAAGGTAGTTATGAACAATGGCCCTCGTTTAGAGACATGTTCACTGCAGTTTATATTAATCATTCAAAACTTACTCCTGTAACCAAATTATATCATCTCAGAAACAAAACAAGAGGTGAAGCAGGAGCTATAGTAAAACGATATGCATTGTCCAATGATAATTTTGAGTTAGCTTGGAATGCGTTAAAAACTAGATACGAAAACAAACGAGTTTTGGTCGATAACCAAATCAAAATATTGTTTGATATACCAGCCGCAATTAATGAAGATAGTGAGTCCATAAGAAAAATACAGTCGTCAGTAAACGATTCATTAGCAACACTTAGTACGCTAGGAGTAGAAGTAAATAGTTGGGATCCCATTTTAATTCGTTTAGTATCAACAAAATTACCGGAATGTACTCTAGCATTATGGGAACAATCTTTAACTTCTCCTCGTGAATTACCAAAATGGTCGCAAATGTCACAATTTTTAGTAGACAGATATGAAGCGGTAGAGCGACTAACAGGCATTAAAACAACAAAAGACAGTTTTACTCTTTCCAATAAAAAATCTCATATACAAACATATACATCGCAAGAAAACATATATACGAATTGTAAACTCTGTAATAATGAACATTATTTAAGGAATTGTCCAAAATTCAAAACGTTTTCAACGCAACAAAGAATAGATTTTGTCTTCAAAAATAAAATATGTAACAATTGTTTAAGTCCTTCACATATTAAGACGAAATGTAGAAGTAAAAGAACATGTTTTTACTGTAAGAAAGATCACCATTCATTATTGCATATTGCACACAAACCATCAATTACACCACAAAATTCTGAAAATATTCAAAACAATGGTAATAGTAACCATACTAAAAATAATATTCAAAATACAAATACACAAGCTGAACAGACGAGTAATTCTTACAAAGATGAACCTGCAACTACTTCACAACGCGTTCAGGCAAACTGCTCGTCTAGCAACGAAAATATTTTATTGCGTACAGCTTTGATGCAAATAGAGCATCAAGGAGAAATCTTTACGATAAGAGCTTTGATAGACCCAGGCTCCCAAAGAACATTTATTACAGAAAAAATAAGAAGTAAATTAAAGTTGCCTTATAGAAATTCTCATTTTGAAATTAGTGGAATAGGAGGTCAAAAACAATCCGCAAAAAAAGAGTGTGAATTTATTTTATATGCAAAGAAATATAACCTACGAGTTCCAATTAAGGCAATCGTCTTGTCGAGTGTTACTAATACACTACCAGCAGTTACGTTTAAAGTCCCATATTCTGCAGAACTTAAGAAATTGGACTTAGCTGACCCAAATTTTAATAAATCTTCCCAAATCGATCTTATTCTTGGTAATGATTATGAACATTGTCTGAATCTAGAAGGCATAAAGAAAAATATATGTGGCCAAACATCAGCCTATAAAACTATATTTGGATGGGTGCTTAGCGGACCAATAAGAGCTGAAACTGTTCAATCATTCTCAACTGCGGTTACTTCATCAGAATCTTCAGAACTCAGTACACTATTGAGAAAATTTTGGGAGCAAGAAGAAATACCCAAAACTCGCCTTACGTCAGAAGAAGATGATTTTGTTGAACAATTTTACACTCAAACAACTACTCGAAACAAAGATGGACGATATATTGTAAGGTTACCTTTTAAAAAAGAGTATCACGAATCAGTATATTTAGGATCATCTAGATTTATCGCATTAGCTCAATATGCCAGTATGGAAAAAACTTTAGGAAAAAATAATGAATTGCAAGCTGAATATAAATCTGTTTTAGACGAGTATTTAACTCTAGACCACATGGAAGAAACAACATCAACTGAAATTAATTATGAAGGTAAATTTAGCTCTTATTATTTGCCCCATCATGCGGTCGTGCGACCTGACCATAAAACAACAAAGGTGAGAATTGTGTTCAATGCCTCTAGGAAAACAAAATCCAACTTTTCTCTAAACGATGTTCTGTATACAGGTCCTACAATTCAAAACGACTTAATAACAGTAATTCTGAATTGGAGAAGATATAAATACGTGTTCAGTGGGGACATACAGAAAATGTATCGTCAAATCCTAATTCATCCAAATGATAGAGCATTCCAAAGAATATTATATCAACCTGAAAAAAATGGCCCTATTAAAGATTATGAATTGAAAACTGTTACGTTTGGAGTGAATAGCGCGCCTTTTCTAGCAATTCGTACGTTACATCAACTAGCGTCAGATTCAAAAGCGGAATCTCCCAAAGCATCATCCATTTTAAAGTATGAGACTTATGTAGATGACATATTAACTGGAGGGTTTTCAATTGAAGAAACTCGAGAGGCACAAAATGAATTAATTAAAACTCTGAAGTCTGCTGGATTTTTACTCAAGAAAATAACAGCAAATGATACACAGTTATTGGAAGATTTACCAAAAGACGATATATATGATTCCGATTTTTTACGGTTTCATGAAACTAGCTCCACAAAAACTTTAGGCATAAAGTGGAACGCAATATCAGATACATTTACATATACTTTTTCAGCACTAAGTCCATCTACGAAAATAACAAAACGCCAAGTTCTGTCATCAGTCGCAAAACTGTTTGATCCAGCTGGATGGCTAGCCCCTATAGTCATCAGAGCAAAAATATGTATGCAGCAGTTATGGTTAGAAGGTAAAGACTGGGATGAAGAAGTTTCTGAGGAATCTCTACAAAATTGGAACAATTTAGTACAAGACTTATCTGAAGTTGAACTAATATCAATTCCCCGTTGGATTCAACTTATGCCTAATGATACAATACAAATTCACGGTTTCTGTGATGCATCGAAATCCGCTTATTGTGCCACTGTATACATTAGGTGTCAAACAAAAACTCAAATGTATTCTCAAATTTACTAGTAGCAAAAAGTAAAGTTGCCCCTTTACAAACTGTCTGCCTCCCGCGCTTAGAGCTTAATGGCGCAGTGTTATTAGCAAATTTAGTTAATTACGTAATAAACTCTCTTAATTTCAGTAAAAGCGAAATATATTTGTGGACAGATTCAGCTATAGTCCTTGGATGGTTATCAAAACCACCTTCATCATGGGAAACTTATGTGGCAAACAGAACATCACGAATACATGAATTAATGACTAATGTCACATGGCGACATGTTCCAACACATGATAATCCAGCTGATTTGGGCACACGAGGTTGTAAAGCACAAAATTTGGTAAATAATTCACTTTGGTGGAATGGACCATCATGGTTAAAAAAACCATCATCAGAATGGCCTAAACGAAATATATTAAATAATAACCCAGAAAATAAAGAAATACAATCTCTAAACGTTCAGCTTGAAACGGATGACATCCTAGACAATTTTTCATCATATGGCAGAGCATTACGGGTAATATGCTACATTTTTAGATTTTTCCATAATACTAATAAGAAAATGCGTAAAAATTTAAAACATAATACTCAAATTGCATTGACACAAAATGAAATGAAATTTGTAAAGTCAAGACTAATTGTTTTAGCTCAAAAAACATTTTATAACGAAGAATATCAATGCGTAAGTAAATCAAAAGATATTTCAAACAAAAGTACGCTGAAAAGTTTAAACCCATTCATAGATAAAGATTCAATTTTGAGAGTAAATGGTAGATTAGCTCATTCATCACTACCATATGGCGAACGTTATCCCATAATTTTACCTGGCAACTCCCGATTTTGCCAATTATATTTACACCATTTGCATGAGTTTCTCTTTCATGCTGAATGCGGTCAAATGTACCGAATAATACAAACTGAATTTCTCATATTCAGATTAAAACCTCGTATTAAGAAAATAATCCGTAACTGTAAAATATGCTTAATATATAAAAAGCAGCCATGCTCTCAGATAATGGCTCCCTTACCTCCGGAAAGATGTAATCTCTCTCTTCCTTTCCAGGTAACAGGTATTGATTTTGCTGGACCTTTTGAGTTAAAAACGTCGATTCTAAGAAAATCTCCAATAACTAAAGGATATGTAAGTGTATTTGTATGTTTTAGCACGAAAGCTGTCCATTTAGAGCCATGTTCAGAATTATCCTCAGCGGCATTCCAAGCTGCCTTCGCTCGATTCATTGGGAGGCGGGGGCTCCCCCAAAGGGTAGTTACGGATAATGGACGAAATTTCTTAGGTGCTAGTAGAACGCTGGAACGAGAATTTTCTGCGTTTGTTAAAAATAGTGCCCAAGATGTAGCGCAGAAATATATAACACATGGGTTTGAATGGAAATTCATCCCACCTCATGCTCCTCATATGGGCGGCCTCTGGGAAGCAGCCGTAAAAAGCTTCAAATATCACTTTAAACGAATTGCTGGGGCTCACAAATTCACCTTTGAGGAATTCGCCACAATTTTAGCACGAATAGAAGGAGTACTCAATTCCCGGCCTATATCAGCAGTATCAGAAGACCCTTCAGATCTCACAGCTCTAACGCCAGGACATTTTTTAAGAGGTGCCCCTTTGATGGCATTCCCTGAACAAGATTGTTCGAATATGTCGGTAATAAATAGATGGGAAAAGCTGAAGGTTATACATCATCAACGATGGAAAAATGATTATCTAAAATCACATCATAAAAGGTATAAGTGGAAAACCTCATCTCAAAATATGCAGGTTGGAGATTTAGTCATTATTATGGACGATCTACTGCCGCCTCACGAGTGGAATCTTGGCCGAATTGAAAAAACTTGTTCCGGTTCAGATGGTAATGTACGAACTGCCGAGATACGAACTGCTAATGGGGTAATTAAACGACCTATCGTCAAATTGTGTTACCTACCTTTTCTAAATCAAGAAGAAGCTCAGGTAGACTCAAACCTTAAAGTTCAATCCTCTATTTCAAAATAAAATTAAACTTTATATCTCAAATATCTTAGTTTATCTTTAATTTCTACCATAGCTTAAAAATGATGTATTTAAAATATCCTAATAAAAATTTATTATTCAAATTTCAAGGATGTTTGATGACTGATAACCCATATTCAAATTTGCAATCCAACCATTTCCCTATAATATACTAATTGAACTATGTTTTCCTTTTATCTATCACCACAGCAGGTCCAATCGACGACTAACCGCCACTCGGGTCCCTAATGAAAATCATAGCCCTAATGAAGAGAGAAGCGTGGTACCAAGAGACTCAGAGGTGTTCTACTGTGTGATATGCACAGGATATCACGGGCTCAAGTTCTGTCGAAGATTTAGAAGGATGACGCCACAAAAGAGAAGGGACATAGTTGAACGACTAGGGTACTGTGTTAATTGCTTGGCTAGAAGCCACAGCATCCGGTCATGTACCTCAATGGAGGCGTGCTTAAAATGTGCACAATTGCACCATACCCTGTTGCACCCAACAAGAACAGTCAGCCCACGACCGAGAACTACCACCATCAGCAGTCGACGCAGTCTCGATAACTCCGAGACCCACCAACAGCATCGTCAACACCAACAGCTTCGTCAACACCAGCAGCATCGTCAACACCATCGTCAAAACCGACAACATCAACCTCACCCTCATCATCACCAACATCGTCATTATCAACATCGTCATCATCAACATCGTCATCATCAACGTCAGCAACATCATCATCATCGTCAGCAACGTCATCAACTTCAACAACGTCACCCAACTCCACAACCGCCAGCTCCAGTTGCATCTCCTGCTACAAATACAACACCCGCTCCAGATCAACACATCTTGGCTGAAGCTATAAAATCGTTAGCCAACGTCCTATGCTATCAAAGCAAAAAGGAGTAAATAGGCAAGGTTCGAGGCCGGCGCCATGTTGAAACCAATATTTAATTGTTTCTTTTTGTATATATTATTCAATGAATTATTATTAAAATTAGTATTAAGTTATGAATTGTATTTTGAATTTGAATTAAAGCATTTAGTAGATTAAGTTTAATTGTATTAACTGAATTATAAAATTGAATTATACAAAATTAAGTACTATTTGAATTTTATATATTAGTAAATTAATGGTTAGTATCTAATATAATATGAATTGAAAATAAGTACTACCTTAATATAATTAATATAAAATATAATGATCATTAACTAAAAGATGTTAATAATTAAGTAGATAACAAATAATGTTGCTAACGGTTTTTTTTAAGAAGATAAAAGATTTCCAACCAACTGTTGGAAGAAGTTAGGTGTAAGAAGTTAGGTGTAATTATAAAAATATAATTTGTAATCTGGCACTTCTTGCTTAGCAACAGAACTATTCAGTTCATTTCATCCACATAACCCAATAAACTTGAAACATTTATAACGTTTTTAGAAAAAAAGAACCTTTAAACTCTTTTCCTCAAATTGGTAAATACAAAATCACACATACAACAAGGTAAAGTAAAAAAAAAAGGGAACACATACTCCTCTAAAACATAAGTATATATTTTTGTCTAATAACAATATCTCTTATTTCCCTCATAATTAACTCCAATAATTAAAATCACTTTCTGAGTGATTAAAATTATTCATTTTCTCCCAAAAAACCAAGGGTTCCTCATCCTCAAAAGGAGAAAATTTATTAATAATTTGTTTTATCTTTCATACAAATTATTTCAGGTGGAATATATACTTATAACCAAGCTGAACTCCATGTAGTAGTTTGATATTGCACTTTTGGTCTAAAGCAGTACACCAGATTATTGAAGCATAAGCTAGAATTGGTCTAATTCACTTTTATGAAGCCAATTTGTCATAGTAGGACTAAGACCCCATTTCATGCCTATAGTTCTCCTACATATCGCCCAACACCGATGGGCCTTGTTGATCCTATCCTCTATGTGGTGTGTCCATTTTAATTTCCGGTCAAGTATTACACCTAAGTACTTAACATTGTCTGTCACCGGTATCTTCTTGCCCAGGAAGCAAGGTTCAGTATATGTAGAAATTTTTGTCTTTCTTGTGAAAAGACAGATTTCCGTCTTCGCCGGGTTAACATTGAGGCCTCTCGGTTGAGCACAGCTCAAGGCGGTATTCAGAGCCTCCTCAGCTCTTCTACACAAGTAATTTGGATCCTTTCCCTTTAAAAGTATTACGACATCGTCTGCATAGCAGGCAGGTCTAAGTCCTTTCTCGGTTAGGGTCCTTAGGAGGCTATTAATCGTGGTAACCCAGAGTAAAGGTGACAAAATGCCACCTTGTGGTATACCGCGAAATACCTTTTTCCTGATAGTTATATCGTACATCTCGCAGCTTATCCATCTGTTCCTTAGCATGTAGTTGATCCAGTTACGGAGCATCCGGTCAACATAAAATGGATAAGGGTATCAGTGTGCACGTTATTGAAAGCGCCTTCGATATCAATATATACCGCCAGTGTATATAGTTTGCTATCAAAGGATGCACCTATGTAGTAAACAACTTCGTTTAAAGCGCTTTCCACTGATCGTCCCTTTACATAAGCATGCTGCTTATGTAAAGAGCGAAGCTCTTGATTGCCCCTTTAATTACAATTTCCGTGTTAGCCTCCCCTTCCTCCAATATCGGTTCATCTATGTTATTCGATATACCGGGTGGGAATTAGAGTCCATTAGGAGTTTTATTGTCTCCCTCATATCCTCCAGCCTCCTGCCCGTATAATCGACCATAGATTCCGGTTGGACATGAGTTTTGGATAGGAATTTTTTTATCTTCGATACGTCATTTACGCTTTTTACCTGTTCAGAGAAAAGTTTCCAGGAGTCTCGTTTGGCCTTACGAACAATTTTCTTATATTCACCAAGTTTACTACGATACTCTTATCAGTACACTGCTGTCTTTTTACGCCGTGCCCGGTTAAATAGTTTGCGAAGAGTCTTCCCAAGGTTCCGGATCTCCCCAGTTACCCAGGGTTTCTCCGGGGCAGATCTTCGCTCTCGCAGAGGCCAACTGTCCTCGAACGATTCAACCAAGGCACTTGTGAGCATTTCTACTTTGGTGTACTTTGGTGCCGAACATTGTCCAATTAGTTTTAGACTTATTGCGAAACTTTATCGGTTTTGGTGGTGGTCTTAGTATTTTGAATCTTATGTACCGATGGTCGGAAAAGGAGTGCCCGTCCGAAACTCTCCAATCTTGAATTTCGTTTATAAGCTCTTCTGAACATATAGTTATATCTAATACTTCTTCTCTGATTCTATTGACGAAGGTAGTCTTTAGTATTAAGGAAATACATAAGGGCTTGTCCCCTGCGATTGGTGTTTGTACTACCCCAAAAATTTTCTAATTTTTCCTTTGTGAATCGAAAGGCAGGTAAACAGATGCAAGGTATATGTTGCCACGACCTTGCTTCAGCACCGTTGCATCCGATGTGGATAATCTTGTTGAGAGGAGAAAACATAAGTTCTTGTGACATAAGATACAAGTTCTCGGTCAAGACCCTGTATCAGCGTAGAAATGTGATTTAATCCAGAAACCTTGTCGCAAATCGTCCAAGGTTCCTGGATTAAAGCTGCATGTATCTTATCTGTGTTAATTTAACCATCAGGGCGTTGCTAGCTGTCTCGCTCCGATGGAGGTTTATTTGGATAACCTCAATCATTGTCATCCATTTAAACTGTCTTCCAGCGAGTTAGTGATCACATCCCCGCTCTTTGGATTTGACTCCTCCGGGTAACCTGAAGTGGCTATTAATGCAGTGGGTACCTTTGATGGCAATGCGGTATCCTTATCAGGCATAGCAAGAGCAGTCTTTTTAATCGACAATTTCCCAATTTTGGACAGCACTGCTGTTCTGTCTCCTGGAGAGTGAGTGATTTCCTCCTCGCTTTTAGGATCTGACTCCTCAAAATGACCAGTACTTGCTAATGATGCTTTGGGTACCGTCTTAGGTGTTTTAGTGTCCATATCGTGGCCGGTTTTGACATCCCTTTCAATCAGCGCCTCCCCAATTTCGGAAAGGGCAGCTGCACCTTCTTTTTGCGAGTTAATGGTAAATTCCTCGATTTTAGGATTTGACACCCCAACGTTATCAGTAGTGGATACTGATGCTGTGGTCTTAGGTTTTTTAGTGTTCTTTTCGAGGCTTGTTGTAACAGCACTTCCCAATTAGAGGCGAAGTAGGCCATACATTATTATTATAGATAAAGTTCCCTCAGGTTCTTCTTTCCTATAAAAGACATCCCATTTTTCCACGGCCAGCTCAGCATTTTGACCACCAAGAATTTCCAGTATACGTTCATTAGCCAGTTTACTGCCCGATCCTTTTATGTAGACAGTGGACTTCAAGAGCAACGGAAGCTCGCTCTTCTTTACCAGTCCTAGGTTAGCGCCGTCCCAGGGAGGAGGGATACTTTCCACCAAGCTCTTTAGGGTGCTAATTTATTGGTGAGATGCCAACCTCATCAACATCACGCCAATGCTGAACTCGCAGCTCACGCTCTCTATTGGTTGTTTGCCCTTTGAAGCGATTGCGTGGTCCACTATCTTATTGTTCACCAGATCTTCTACCTTACTCTGTTGGTCTATTGGAATTTTGCCTGTCGGATTACCGGCATCGTAAACTGCGATTGCGTCGTCCACTATCTTATTGTTCACCAGATCTTCTACCTTACTCTGTTGGTCTGTTTGAATTTTACCTGTCGGATTACCGGCATCGTAAACTGCACAGCACAGATCGTCCCGGTGTCTTCTTCTGGCAATTTTGGCATAAGATGGCGGCTCTTTTCCTTTTCCGTCTAGCCTCTTTTTTCTCGCTTTTCAGGACTTCTTTTGAGATAGCCGTACCTTCGAGTTTGATTTCGCCGACGTGATAGTGTTCGGAATATCTATCTTGGCGTTGTCACCCTTACTCTCAGGATTCTGACATGAGGTTCCTTTGAGTGAAGTGTGGCTTGGCTTCGACTGTGCATTAGAAGACTGGGAGCTCTTTTTCTTCTTAAGTTTATTCTCAGTTGTCAATTCTTCGGGAGACCTGATCCTCTTTGCCTCAGATCTTATGAGAGAGTCCGATTTTTCCTTTGGAGTGTAGTTGGATTGACTAACTAAGATCTTTTTCAACTTCCTTTTCTGTGCTCCAGATAGTCTTTTCTTAGTAATAGGTAGTTTAGCTATGCTATCACTTTCCTGTTTCACCATTTGCTCTACTTCATCCTTTTTGGGATTTGCTATAATGGTGTTGTTATTATCATCTGAGGATTCAGAGTCGGAACCCTCACCTATATTTAAAGGCTGAGGTAGCTTAGAGCTCTCTCCGAGTACATCCTTCTCTTTCACCCCAATGCACAGTGAGACATTTGGCCTTTTTAGAACGACAAAAATAAAAAAATAAACGCTTTCCATTTGTCTTGCTTGTTATTATGGTTAACAGTAAACATTCCATATACTATAGAAAACTAACTAAAAATATTGCAGAATTCCTTTAACCCAAAATATAGGTGCTCAAAGTTGCTCCTCTTAAAAATAAAATAATTTTCTTGTAATATTCCTGAAGCGGCATATTAATTTTGAATGCGTATATCTGGATAAATATTTCAGATAATTATTCAGTGTATTATAATTTAATACTTCGGAATTATTCTGCAATGATTTTTTAGACAAAAGTACAATTTTAAAGGTTTTATTTTTAACTCTAAGAAAAAATACTATTAATAATAAAAATATATTTCAAAATTAAATTTTTAATGGAATAGGTCTAATGACTGCAGCCAATTGCAGTTATCTAATTAAAACCCTTGCATAGGAAAATTTCTATAGAGACATATATATGAAAATTGGCTGCGACCTTTTGCGATCTTCAGAGATATTCAAAAAAATTAGATTAGGATTTAATATGTTTTTTTAAAATTATGTGTAAGCTCACGTTAGGGGAATACATAAATTTTTGGCCTTGGCACCATGTATTAGCCCACAATTACTGCTTTTAAAAAACAATTACTTAAGCCAATCAGG